ACGCTATCGACAAGTGCTGCCGCTAAGCGGTACAACGTGACGTATAAATAAATATTTACTTAGTATCGCGCTCGCATGTTCCTTTCACTTGCCGTATCGTTTAGTCGATTGAAATCAATTCCAAACACAGATGTGCGCAGACAATTCGCAATCTAGAACCGCCACCGGTAGAACCGGCAGAAAACCTGGAAGACTTTCGCAAGGAAATGGAAAAGAATATTGTAAAGAGATGGAGTAAGAAGCGAGTCAGAAAACGCGAATGGATCTGAAAATAAAGAAAATAATCGGAAGAAGAGAAAAAATGAGTTTATTATACAAATATAATGAAAAAGAAATCGATAGATTAGCAATACATTATAATACATTCGTATTATAATGTCATGTTGAGAAAATACTGAGGATCTGTTTGTCGCCGTAAACATATTTGACAATCAAATGTACTGTGGTTATAGTTTCTAATTTTCCATTATTATATATATTTTCTTATAAGTAGATTTTCAATTCTTAAGAATATTCTTAATAATAAGTTAAAATGTCTAATTGCAAAAATATTTTTTTAGAATTAGATTTTTTTTTATTATAGTTTTCTGAGATTTTATTATTACATGTATATATTTTTTTTTCTTGTAGGTAGATTTTAGCTATCGTTAAAAATATTCTTAAGACTATTTTTCAAAATATTCTTTTTAAAATACATAATTCTTAAGAATATTTTTAAGAAAGAGATAATATTCTTAACAAAAAAAAACTAAAAATCTATTTGCAAAAAAATATGTATATGTATACATATTTTCTTGCAAGTAGATTTTTAATTTTTATATGCTGTAAAAAATAAAACATTAATTTTGGCTTAAAGATAATGGACTTGCTGAAACATGCAAAAATGTTAAAATTAACATTTCAGCATTTTTGCATGTCTTAACGTCTTTAAGTAAAAATTAATATTTTATTTTTTAGGATGTATAATAATAGAAAACTTAATCTCTATAATTTAATCTCTAATTAAAAGAATATTATTATAATTAGAGATTTTAAGTTGTTAAGAATATTTTTAACAAAGAATTGAATTCTACTTGCAAGAAAATACATGTGTATAACAGAAAACTATAGTACATTCGATTACCAAATATTTCTGATGGCGACATACCTAAGCAATCCATTTAATTGAATCAATTTATTTCTTGTTTGAATATGAGTAAACAAATTCTTGGTTGATGCAATAAAATAACTTAATTTGATTGAACTTAACTTGGACCAAACATTTGGTTATTGTAACATTTTATTTGTTTCTGATGAACAACCTTATCAGATGTCAATGTTTATTAGAAACAAGTAAATGTTTGGTCCAATTAAGTTATTTATCCAAATAAGAAATTAATTGATTCAACTAAATAGATTTCTCAATGCAGAGTCTTGATATTTATCGCAAATTATTAAATTATTTACACATTATTCATGACATTGAAAGTATGATATAAAATGAATAGAAAAATATCTTCGATCCTGCATCGTATTCATATTGTTGTGTGTCATAAATATCAGATGCCAGCCTATTGCAATAATACGTTTCCCCATGTGATAATGCAGGATATCGAATTACTGGTGGTAGTCGCGATAATCTCAAATGGCGCTAGTTCGCTAAAAATAAAGACCTGACCTTTTGCGGAATAGTTCACGCATTTATTCTATATATTTCACGCACGATTGAACTGTTATGCAGCTCATCGTTTCTTCGATATTGAATCGCAAAAGTGATCGCAAAAATCGCTCAAAGTGCAACGGTTTGCAAATTGACACGACATCGGAGAAGTTTTGCTTACGTATTCTTATTTCACGTTATACTTTTTTTGCTGTCAACTGAGAATTGTAATACAGAGGGAACGAAATATATTTCATCAATATCGAATCATTCCTTTCGTTTCTCAAAATAGGTATGATTTAAGTCAATTTCTATCAACATAGATTAACTTAAATCTTAGTTTAACTTACTTTTTATCTTTCTCTAGTTCTCAAAATTAAAAAAAAGTTGAAGAATAAGTTGAATCAAGATTAAAGTTAATCTTCATTAGTAGAAACAAGTTTAAAACAAAAATAAGTTTAGAACAACATTAGTGTGACATCAACCTTTCTTATATAGTGGTTTAAGATGATAATATAATTATCATCTATATATCATTAATAAACACAATACAATATTACTTTGTCGGAGTATCGATCATGTCATTTTTAACTCTCTAGGATGGAAAATGAAAAATTCCTCCATTAACTTCAATAGTAAAAACTAATGTTCACTTTTCGTTTCCGATCTATGGAAAAAAATTATATGATTATCCTTTTCGCAGCGGTGCTATTTACTTTATGTACCTGTTGCGCTTAAAATGCAACAGGTGCGTAATTGGATTGCAAGGGAGAGGGAAAGACGAAAGGCAGAAAATCAGCATCGTGATCACGGTATCGGTTATGTAACTTTTTCCCTAAGGCAGAAACGTGAAAAGTGAAATTTTTTATATTATATGTATATCTGTACACATCATGCAAAAAAATTTTCACACATATATATACATATATGTATATACATAAAGATTTTCACATTTTCGCCTTAGGGAAAAAGTTACATAACCAATACCTTGATTACAGTACAACTTAGGAAGACTTTTTTAAAGTATGCTGTGTGGGTGGTTCGATTAACGAGAAAATAAATTCGTTCTTTGATTAGAGATTGAAATTAGAATTTAACTAATCAAAGCAGAGTTCACTATAAACATGAGATTAATTTCTATTCTTCTATTTTTACTAATATAAATTAACCTTAATCTCAGTTCAATTTATCCATCATTTTTTTCTAATTTTTAGAACTAGAAAAAGATGAAGAATTAGTTGGACCAAGATTAAAATTAAACAACATTGGCAGAAATGGATAATAATCAGTTAAATTCCAATCCAATTTCAATCTATAGTCTGAGCCCCTATTCTTGAAAAGTATCACATACGAGAATTACGGAAATGCTATAATATATGTAACCCATGTAACTGTAGTATTTCGTATGCGATACTTTTCAAGAATAAGGGCTCTGGTTACGGTTTCAGGACATAGAACGTCATCTGGACGTTTTTTAGGATGTCTCTTTAAAGATCTGTGCATCTATGGACAGTGATCAGATAATAAATCAATGAGGTCTGTGTAATTCTCGAATGAACATACCATGCCGTCGCCACGCCGGCCACGTGACACACACGCGCCGGGCGTCGCGATAGCGAAAGGAGCGGATAAGGCACACGCGGGGGGTACCCGACACCTTTACACAGGGTGTTCTACATGCATAGTCCCTGCGTTAGCGGGATTTTTTTCAAACGGAGTATCGGATTCCGATTACGGGCTTGAGTGGTGCAACAACGCGGGAATAAAAAGCAAAACAAGAGGGATATCATTTCTAAAACTCTCTAATCAGAGTCAAGAAAACAGCCACTTTTAATTGGTCTCCCAATGTTTTTGTTTTCTTCTCTTAATTCTTGGGAGAGAGAAAGAGATAAAAAAAATGATAGAACAGGAAGAGAAAAAAATACTAAATGTATATCCTTTCTCGCGTGATTTTAGTAGATAAAATTTAGTAGACAAGAAAAGAACAATTTTGCTGAAGTATTTAAAAGTTTAACAAGATCTGAAAATAATTTTGTTGAATCATCAAAATAATTACATAGGAATTCTATCAAGCATGAGACAAAAAAATTTAATTCCTAGAATAATTAAAAGTTTTAACTTCATTCTAACAACAAGTCTGAATGTCTTACATAATTATTTTGATAATTTAATAAAGTTATCTTCAGATCTCTCTGTATGTAACTAAATTTTTAGATTTCAACAAACTTTCCATACATATTGCATACAAAATGCAACTCGAGTTCAGGAAGTCAATCATGTAATTTTTTCTCTACAGCGGAAACGTGAAGAGTAAAAATTTTTTATATGTACATTGAAAGAAATAATGTTTTATTTAATATATGAGTTACAAAAACTTTTTTACTTTTTATTTAAAAAATTTTGATTAAAACAAAATTTTTTAATTAAAAAGTAAGAAGGTTTGTAAGTCATATATTAATACAAAATATTTCTTTCAGTGTACATATATATGCATATATAATATAAAAATTTTTACTTTTCACGTTTTCGTTTAGGGAAAAAGTTACATAATTCTACAGATTCTTATTAGAAAATCTCTAATCTTTTTTTGCGATGCACATATCGCGAATCAGAAAAAGAAGTCGATCACCAATAATTCGGTATTATACGTCACAACGAAGACGCGTACTCTTATCTGTGAAGAATCGGCGCTGGATGGTGGTTTTTTCACTGATCGTATCCATAAACGACAGTGTTCAAAGATCGACGAATTCATAGACATGCACGGAGAAACGATTAAAATCCATAGCTCATGCCGGAATTAAATGTCTCGCCGTATCAAGAAAAATTACGACTTGTTCTGAAGTTAGATTTTCCGGAACACCCTATATACGCCTTGTTCATAGGAATTCGCTGATAGCATTTATGGGCCAATCGGTTCGATCGACGAACATTTCCAAACGAACAAAATGGAAAACGATGCCTGATGTATATAAAGTCGGTAATCCAAATGGACGAATGAGAGAAGTGCTTCTGCGACTTGATCATCGAAGGAGAAGAAAGACACGCGATCTCTCCGTTACGTCACGATGAAAAATTCATCGCCGAGCGTATTCGGAGGCGCGCAAGTGCGCAAAATGGCGTAGTTCGCGAAATCCCTCGCGTTACATGACCGTTCAAATTCGGCCGCGCGTACACTTTGGCTACACATTTATTTCTGGATTTCCCGGAAACCTTCGACCTTTCCCGTTCGCCCCGGATTCGCACGGATACGTGACACAACGTCGAGACGGACAAAAAATATAAAGAGCGGCAGAGATCGAGATGAAAAAAAAAAAAAACTGGAATAAAGAAAAAAGGAAGAAAAAAAATCGTCACTCACCCTCATCCAGCAGACGTTCCACGTGAATGAAGACATTTGGGAAGGCAGCTAGCTGCTTCCGGTCCTTCAGCAACTGTGACAGGTAGTCCGCTATACTCTGCGTCGTCGTGTTAGTATTATCACACATCGCAAATTGTACTCGGCTGCTTCAATGGCGAATGTTGGCGCGTGTTAGGCGCGCGCGGGCACGCTTAATGCACACTCAAAGGGGAGGCGGCGAGTGAGCGGCGGCGACGACGCGGCGTCGAGACGGGACGGAGAACGGCGAAATTGTTCTCTCTCCGGTTACGAGAGAGCACCAGGCGCGCGCGGACGGGCGGAGACGTACTGACGCAGGAGCGTTTAAAAGAAAAGGAGCCGAAGCGAAGTCAGCGACGACGGCGTTGAAGACGAAAGGGGAGGGGGGCGGGGGGGAGGCAATGACGCGCGAATGGGAGGGAAAGACGAAGGAAAGACAACGAGGAAGGAAAAGGGGACGAAACGAAGGAGGAGGAGAAGAGGAGAAGCGAGACTCCCGCTAACGTGGAGGGATCGGAGCGAGGGTGGTGCGAGAGAGGGGGAAGGATAGGGGGAGGGAGCCGGAGAGCGAACGCGCGAGCGACACTCCTTCGAGAGAGTCGTAAAGTTGCCTTGTCGTTCGTTCTTTTCTTTTTTCTTTCTTTTTCTCTTATTTTTTTCTTTCAGCGATGTAATTCCGTTTGATCGCTTCTCTCCTCGTATTAGCGTCCGATTTCTTCGATATATACTTTTCCCGTCAGCTCCGTCGGAGATAATTCTCTCCCTTTTTCTTCAGTTTTATCCCGCTTGACTCGGCCAATCTTTCCTTTTCGAGGAAACACACTCACGTCGTCACAGTTGACTATTGCGCTTTCAGGAACGATCCCACTGGTAAACGCACGCCGCAGTAGATCGCGAGAAGCGACGTGGGAGCGACAGTAGGAAGGGAGTGAGAGGGAGGGAGATACAGACGGAGAGAGGGAGAAAGAACGTAGAAGGAAGAGAGCGAGAGAGGAGCGTCAAAGATAAATAGAACGATCGACGAAGTTTTGAAGAGAGAAAGAAAAAACCAAAGAGAATCGGGTGAAACGGCAAAGGGAGAGAGAGAGAGAGAAGATTAGACGTGCATAGAGACAATGGTGTATGTCTCTCTCTCTCGCTCGCTTGCGTGAGGAGGGTAAAATCGGAATGCGAATCGCGAGAATTCGAGAGTAAGTACACGCGCTTTGGAATTCTCGGCTCTACTGATTGTACCGCTCGTGCACGGTACATGCGCACCCGCGCCGAATCGAGCCGAGTGACGCCGAGTCGAGCCGAAGAGCGGGTTCGCGGGCGCATGCGCGCTACGTGCGCCGCGTTTTCCTGCGTGTCGTGAGGAACGTCGCCACTCGCCATGCGTTTACCGCCCACTACCATATACGGCCTCTGCATACGCGCTAGCATCGAGCGAGAGCGAGAGAAACGGAAAGAGAAAGGGAGAGGGAGATAAGCGCCATACCATCGTGTCGCGGAGTTGGATAATTCAGGCTCGCGTCCATGGGCCAACGCACCGTCCGTTTCTCTTAACGCGATATTGCGTGTATGTGTGAGGCGAATTATGTTTGTACCTTTTTTTTTTCAGATATGTGGTCTTTCACTACTACGAATGATCTTGCGGGATGTACATATATATTTTATGTCGAAAATGTCTTTGATTTCAGTTGGAACGCCATGAAACTCGCGAAGGAAAGATCACTTCCTCTAAAATTTTTCCGGTGATCTTTTCCAGTTACGAGTTTCCAATTACAATTTTTAATCTTGGCTCGGATCTCACGCGACGTGCGCACGCATGCAAACTCCTTAACTTTTTATATCGGACTTTTTAAGAACATATCTGGTCTATTTATTTTTAAATATCTTTGAGATCGCGATTATAGGAAAATGGAATCAAAATATCAAAAGTTTAAAGTTCATTATAGTATAGATACGAAAGAATAAAATATTTAAGATATAAAATTCTAATTAAATTATGTATCACAGAATTTTTTAGAATCTATATGGATATAAAAAAATGATAGATCCAATATGGTGAATACAAAAAATATATATATAGATATACGTACACAATTCTTTCCAATTTTTATAAAAATTGTAACGTTTTCAAGAAAGAAATATATTTTTAAAAAACATTTTTATTTTTATATAATCTATTATTAATCAAAATTGTATTTCTAAATTAATATTACAAAATTTTAATAATTCAAAATATTTAAATTAATTTTCTGGAAAACTTTATTTTCTGAGTTATTGTTGTAACAAATGAGCAATATGACTTATTGGAGACTTAAGAAAGATGAACTTTTAATATGAATGAGTAACGTGCCGATTGACAAGACAGGGATACGGTAGTGCGGTATACTTCCTCGCCAATCGTCCCGGCTTCGCGAAGAATGTGTTCGTGGACAGAGGTAGGGAGAAAAAAATGGGCCGTGTGGAACATATCCTGAGTGCGCAACCAGCCGACCTCTCCCAACTGAGATCGGTGCATTACATCAACGTGCGCAACATCGTTACGATCTCCGGAGCTCCGGCGTGCCTTAGAATGCATAATTAATAACTCTACCTACTCACTTGCGATATACGAACGCCGACTAAGGCGTGAACGTACAAGGTGATATCCGCGAGCATGTCGCCGATTCATATATTAACGACGCACGTGCCGTGCACTAATGCACGCTCTTAATTGGGATTTATTTCTTTTTCTTCCTTTTAGAGAATTTTGCTTATTTTAGAGATTCTATAACAGAATTACAGAGCATAAGCAATTTTATCAAAATCTTACGAAAGAGAAAGATTTATAGTATATATAATTTCTCCCATGCAGTATACTTATTAACTTTAATTAAGATTATAGAATAAAAAAGTATAAGTTAAAGTGAGAGAGTATATGTATTCTCTACGAGAAATTATATATTTTCTCTCGTAAAAGATTTTGACAAAATCGCTTGTGGCTAAATTCTGATTATATACGGTTTCTAGCTAACCTGACAAAAATGTTTTGATTAAATCAACAAAGCGTACCAACAAGAAATGGCATTTTGAGAGCAATAGATATTATAATTCTGTTTGGTCTTACCAAAATGCCATTATTTTAATCAAAATTTTTCTCAATGTAAAGACGGCTATAATAGTGCCAAGATCGCGATATCGCTCTTAGAACATTCTCACATTCTCACAATTAAAAGTGATTGAAAATATAATAGTAATATGTTTATAACTCGCAAATTAATATTGGGCCGACGTACATATATTGACCATTTTATTTAAAATATCATGGCTAAAAGGTTCGCTTAAATGAGTTGGAATAATGATGTAATGTCCATTTTTATTAATTTGTATATTAATTAAAATTTCGATTTAATTTATATTTTATCTTTTCTTTAGAATAAAAAAAGGATAAAGAGTGAGTTAAACCGAGATTAAGTTAATATAGAAATTGATATAAGAATTTTCGTTCAATTCTATAAAGTTCTAAAGAATGAATTTAGCTTGAAAATAAAATGCTAGAAAAGATGAAACATAATACTATAAATCGGTTTAACAAAAGAATATAGCGAATTCTGATCATGTCTCGTCGTTTGAATAGAAAAATTTTATTCTAGTATCGTGCGTTTCTCATGTGAGGCATCCTTTTATACGGGATCCAGTATATAAACAACCAATCCTGTAGGAGGAGCATTACTGTGATTTCTGCCCGGCTGGATTACCAATGGAAATACCATTACGAGGTAGTCACCGTTGACAGTTAATGGTGTCAACGGCGCACATTCGCCACTGGTTTGTCTTTACGAACCGCTTAAAGGCGCGCACGCGGTTGCGGAATGTTTCATCCGTGTAGAAAGAAAGCAAAGCCTATTCTCTTTTCGTCTCTCTCTCTCTCTCTCTCTCTCTCTCTCTCTCTCTCTCTCTCTTCAGCAGCAAAAAGTACAAATTTATAAATTGAGGCTTTATTATAGTCTTTGAAGACTGTAAAACAGACCGCAATGAACGACCAGTTATGATTATTAAAATAAGTAAATAAATTCTTTTTTTTTGAGTCTTCTCTTCTAAAAATTTTAGAGTAAATCTTATTCTAAGATAAATAAAATCTTACTCTTAAAGATTAAAAATTATTTTTTTCAAGATTGGTTCAATTTTCATCCTTTGAAATCCCATTTTAATCAACACGAAAAAAAAATGATTTTGCTACATAAAAATTTAACTATAATAAATACATATTCGAAAATAATTTGATGTATGAAAATAATTATATAGAAAAATAATTTCGTTGTACTATCAAAATAATTATTTAAAACGCTCAAACTTGATTGATGGTAAAATATCAAATTTTTGACAGCATTGCTCATTATACTTGAATTTACTACATAATTATTTTAGTCTAACAAAATTATTTTTAGATTATTTAGCTAAATTTTTAGATATTTCAACAAAATCATGTTTTTCATAAAGAATTTAACAATGTTCTTTTAACAATGAGTACTGAGTAATTTGAAGATATTAAATTAATGTTATAATCCGAGTATGATTTTCCAATTATCCAAAACAATTATTATCCAAAATTATTTAAATCCAGGTGCTCGAATTATCTGAACAATTAAATAAGAATCTTAGGTCTTTATTAATTATAACCATCTTTTCGCTGATAATTTCCATCGAAATATTTCCAAAGCCTTGAAAAATGTAACAATTTAAGAAATAAATCTTAAAAATCAATTAATATTCACAACTTTTGCAATTTAAATGAGAGACTCGATGGTTTGGTATTCGAAAAGTCCAATCCATGAATTTGAATTCGAACTAGCAAATTATAAAGCGTCTCTATTCTTGGATTTTATTCAATTACAATCGGCCTCTCGTCCGCAACTTTCGAAAAATCGCCGGTGACGGAACGGTCATAGATCGAATTCAAGGTGTGATTTCCGATCGATTGATCGGCCGTGCCGATTACGTCGCCTCTTTAGTGTTCTCCCACGGACTTTACCTTCTATGCGGTGTATCCAGCGCCTACACGCGCGCACGCACGCACGCATGCACACACGCACACGCTGGCTAATGCAAAAGTGACGTTGACGTCACGCGTCCGTACATGGCCTCACCGTGAAAACCGTGTGGGTGTCACGCGTTATAAATTACTTCGTCTTGGATTTTTTCCCCTGTTACTCCACATCCTTCTTCCATTCCCGTCCCGATCGCCTCTGTAATCTTCAAATCTTCGAATAAAGAGAAAAAAACTGCATTCATAGATTCTGACTAACTCGATAAAAAAACTTAGGAAAGACAGAGTGAAGTCAGAATCATTAAGAAGAAAAAGCCGAATAAGTCTAGAACGATAGTTTTTTATTAACATAAAGCGAATGTATTTTCGATCTGATGTCAAATCTAAAACTGTACATATGCTTCAACTAAGACTTAATAATATCTCAAATATCTTATGTCTTAATCTTGCGTACAAAGTGATGCCGTTCGATGAAGATTCAAATGATTTGTTTATGATCGTTCACTAAAGCTATTTACTGTATATATAATACATGCGATAGTTTATTTTGACTTTAACCCTTCGTGGTCCAACTGAGGGCTTTGAAGAGTCACGCAAATACAAACAAAATGAAAACATTTCGGATTATATCATTGTAAAATCGTATTCTTGAATATATCAGATTTTTTTTAGATTTTTTAGAATCCAAAAACCCTTTGAAAAACCCAATCTGACACTAGTGAATCGGTTGGATTATAAAAACAGTAAAAAAAACATTAAACTACGGAATATTAATGACGATCTGGACATATGCTTCTCACATGCTACACTTTATTTATGAATTGTCAATAGTGCGGTACGATCATTTTCTAGCAATCAAATTGGAATTGTCAACTGTATCTCGATACTCAAGTTATCACATCGAGATGTATTAATATCATTAAATTGATGCTTAATGAACGCCATCGAACACCATTGTCTATCGTCTACACGTATAAGGTGCGCGTTACCTGCTGAATTACCGATTATCCTGCCCACGTTTGCCTAGCTGGCGAAAGATCTTGATGCGTTTCAGCCATTTTGCCGAACTCGGATCGTTTATATTTTTGAAATGTCCGTAACCGCCTCCGCTGAGTCTCTTTTGTGGTCGTGAAGACTTACTAATTTCTGTTAAAAAGTTAAATAGGAAAAAATGAAAGTTTAACGTTAGGCTAACTAGTAACGCATATTTGTGTTCAAACACATATGAATTAATTTAATACTGAAAAAGCAATAATTAAAATTTCGATTAATTCAAATATAGATTGAATGTTTTTTGCCTACATGTTATCGTTAAAGATTTGAATAAATACTTAAGAATCTTTAAAAAGAGATCTATAAATTTAAAAAGTTACAAATAAAAAGTGCAAAAGTTTCCGAGAAAACTTTTGCACTTTTGCTTCAACTTAGAATGTATATTTCCATTATATATAATTTTTGTTGTTAAATTAAAAATCATACTTAAGTTTATTGCCGGTGGTACAATAAATCCGAAAGACTTGGCGACTTTCGCCAGATCCAGATTTTCTATAAAATCAAAAATCTGCTCCAAATAATGTGAATAATATGCTCTAACATAATCTTTGAAGGCTTCCTTTGTCGACTGGTATAAGATAAGTAATTCTTCGATATTAACTTTTCAAGCTAAAATAGAAGATGTCCTATATAATATCTTTATAGATTACTGAATATCTATGTAGATATTTTAGTTAAATTAAGAATTTTACACATTTCAATTCTCTATTAAAAAATGCAGTGAAATCATACATATATTCTCATGAATGTTTTAATATCTCTTAGTTTCAGTTTAAACTCACAGTGTTTAAATGACAATCCAGATAAAAAATACAATAAATTTTAAAAGAGAGAATTATGTAATATATTCATTGCTTATACCTGTAATTGTATATCAGTAATTTTTTTCCAAGAGAATTCGTATTCGTTTATAGATACACGAACTATTTCGAGATAACGAAGGAAGTCAAGCTCCTGTGATCATAATATCAACAATGCATGACCGCTACTATTGTCTCCGCGAACGGTTCGACCAATACGATGGATGTATTCCTAAAAGTCGTATAAATTCAATGTTAAGAATCGATGTTCATTAATTAGTATTTATTATTGAGAAAATTATCGTATTAATTTCTTTACTTCTCTTAATGATAAGTAAAATAAATAATGGGATAATTACTATGGGATCATCTGGTTGATCGTACTGCACGATCCAATATCGACATTAGGTATCCAGATCTTTCGCGGCATCTTTAGTGCAGAGCAAAATTCCCGAAAAAGCGTTGCAAAATTGATGAAAGGTCGTAATTCTTTTCATCTGTTTCTGCTTGCTCTGTTAATAAAAGCATGAACACTAAGTTGTTCATGAAAATATTGCAATTTCGAGTGGTATCGGAAAAACTCTAGTAACATACATGTACATTCATCGCTGGTAAATCAATGTAGTTTAAAAGTTCATGGTAATATTTAACAGATATGCAAGAATTGAAGAAGACCATCACTTTTTTTTTGTTTTTCTTTAAGAATGTGAACAAAAGTAGAAATCTTTTGTCACTTGACATGCTATGTAACCTTGCTGTAAGCCCTCCATAGTCGTCATTTCCTTGTCGTTGTCGACTTCCACATATATAGGTTTTTTTTTAGCGCTAATTTTGTTATCATTGCTACCTTGTGTGTAAGTACTGAAGAGGATAGTTTGCCGACGTTCTGCAACATTCAAGTAGTAAAGACAAAAACAATTTATTTTTAATAGTTAATTTACTTTTAACAGTGTATTTACTGGGAAGAATATTGACGATTTCAACTGTTCCTCGTATCCAATACCTAAAATACGATCCTTCGTCAATTATCAAACATTGAAGATTCTTATAGAAGAAATCAGGTGTGTTTTGCAAATGATCTAATAACTGTTCTGGCATTGCCACGATAATATTGATCCCTTTTTCGAGTGTATGCGCTTCGGTCTGTCTATTGGCACCATCCAGTAGAAGACTATATATGTGATAATGATATTTCATTAAGTCTTCCAAGACTCCGAAAGTTTGCATAGACAATTCTCTTGTAGGATGTAATCAATACCTGTAAACATTTATCCATTCAAACTTGTTGCTAATTTTTTATAACTGGATTGTTAGAATGATCAAGATAGCTTTATTCTTATTAATAGCTTTTTCTTTTAATTCATCTCAATATAATTTAAAGATAGAAATTAAAACATTATATATCATTATGATATATCATATTGAATATTTTATACTTTATACTGGACAAAAATTACAGTTGCAATAATTTGAATAATTTTTTTATTTACATAAAAATAAATTCATAAAGAATATTTACATAAAAATAATTTCATTATTTATGAAATAAAAAATAATCTAAATACTTTTTTAATATTGGCTATCAAATTTACATACATTATAAGGCATGAAGTTCCACTTATAAATTAATTCGGTTTTGTCAGATTCAATTTTAGCAGCTACTAACCAAATCTCTCCGTTCAAGAAGGGGTAGAACTAATGCTTGTATCTCAGTCATATATGTAAAAAAACTCATATTCTTCATTGTCTGGCTCAATATTAAGCAGCTTTTATCATTCATCATTTCAAAACCTACAGCTGTGTCAGGTGCTAAACAATATGTATAATAACAATATATATAATATTATTAGAAAGTGCTAAATAACAATGGTTGCCTTCCATTTAATGCTCACAACGCTCGTGGAATCATTTCATTCTTGTCATTTATCAAATGTTAAACAAGGACAAACGATGCTCAACATGTATATTATTAGAAAGTGCAGAAATATCATTCAGTTAGTAACTTAATCATATCAGAAGTACATACGATTCTCAGAAATTGAGAACTGTTTAGCTATCTCCTCAGAGATACTCTTTTTCTTGGATACATTTGATTTCATTTTTTCTAAAAAAAAAAAAAAAAAATACATCATTATGGATCATTATTAATAATTATGTAATAAAACAGAAAATACGCATGATTAATTCTGCAAATAGCGTTATAATTTCACTTATAAAAAATTCACATCTTGTACTTTAAAATAATTTAAAAAATAAATTATAGGAATAAGTTAGAAGAATTTATATAGACTTTTTGAAGGGATATCCTTTGTATTTTGTTGACTTGTCTCAGATATTTTTTCTTTTTTGATTGTATTATATCTGTATAAAAGTATTTTATTGAAGATAAATAATGATAAAGACACATTTATAGTGAAAAAAAAAACAAAAGAAGATTGATGTTGAGAGACGACTAGTTTTGTCACAAAATTTTCTTAAATACCAATTTATTATTTAATTGTGTTATGTTCCATATGAGAACTAACCTCAAAAATAAAAATGTTTACCTTTTTGCTCTTTCCGCTGTTTTAGTACTGTTAATTTTGTCTTCTCATGTTTTTCGTATTACAGCACTTTCTTAGTGACATTTTTTAAAATTGCAGAACAGTATCTTAAAAAGATATCAAAAATTTTTTACAGTCTATTAGAACCCGTTGGACGCGTTTGAACTTCAAACCACTTAAAACGGAATAAACTTTCTAGTGCTAGCCTGCTCGCCAAGTGATTGAATGCGATTGGTTGGATCTATCAGTAACAACCAATCATGTTCATTTGCTGATTTGAAAGGTAATTTGTATAGGCGTGCATTTCGTTTCATGCATAATGTGCATATAATACATCATTTATCCTTATTTAACATTTGGTGAACAACAAGAATAAATGATGAATCATGTGTCAAACGGAATGCATCGTAGATTGCGCGCTCCCATTAGAAATGCAAAATAGTTTAAAACATGAATGTAGGTATCTATCTTGTAATATTTATTATAAATAATTTTACATATATATGCATTGCTATTCTGTGTGCACGTGTATGTATTATATACACGTACCAATGTACTATTCTAGAACAGCAATGAAAATAATTATTTCAAAAAATTGCTTCAAGCATATATGAATAATCAAGATATTAAATACAAAATATCTTATGCTATACAGGATGTTTCCTATAACCAAAATATCTAAAATATCTCCGTTGTTTTTAATGATATGATAAAATATCAAAAAAGAAAATTCGATTCAAGGGTCACATATTATGTTGAGCAAAAAATTTTTCTCAAGGTCCTATTTTTTTAAATTTCAAGATCACTTCCACTTTTTTAAATGAACTTGTATGATTTTTTTGTTTACATAATATGATACCTCTAATTATTCTGAATATAAAAGTATTAAGGTAGTGATATAAAAAAACCAATAGTTTACGAGATATTTTACACTTTATTCTGTTATATGTTATAAAATATTAAATATCTCGTAAATTAATTTTTTTTATAATCGTACTTTAATACTTCTATGAACAGAATAATGAGATGAATCATATTGTGTAAAAAAAAATCATACAATTTCACTTAAAAAAGTGAAGATTATTTTGAAATCTCAAAATATATGACCTTGAGAAAAAGTTTTTGCTCATCATAATATATCGAATCGAATACTTTCTCCTTTGGTATTTTCTTGTATCATTAAAAACAACGGAGATATTCTAGATAGTCAAGTTAGAGGAAACACCCTGTATATTAAGTAATTAAGATTATATATGTACTACTTCGTAAATTCCTTAGATTTTCATAAAACATTTAAGTATTGCACTCTTGTCAATAGAACAAAAATATTCTCGCATATATTCATCATTAGTTTTTTGTAACTTTCACGCACGCGCGCGCGCACGCAACTTTCCATATACATATATTATAAAATGTTTCGTATGAATTTTTTTTATCTTATTTGTTTTAGAAACCCTTTTTATTTGACTTTTTGTGTTTTACATATACATAATAATTTTTTAATTCTATATTCTTATACATAAAAACTCATAATTATAGTCGAATGTAGTATTAATATTACAATGTTCATAAACGATTAGTATTATATTATTTATAATTAGTATTATATTATTTAATTAGTATTATATTATTATATATGTAATATATGCAATAATTTCGTGGAAATATCTAAATAACTTCTTGGTTAATAAACAATTAGAATTAAGTATTTATGAATTAGAATTGATAAATATCGTTCAGAAAATGTTTAGTTTACATATTTGGACGCGAATATAATATATCCTATCATCATTCATTATAATTCATATACTTATCTATTTTTATTATCTATTTTTTTTATCGCTATCTTTAATTTTTTCTTTACGTTTTGTGTTCTAATTAACATAAACAATTATGTACGAAATAAGTATTTTTTAGTATCATAGTATATAATATAAAGTATTATAGTTTAGTATTATATATGTATAAAGATGAATATATTTACACGGATTTAATTATGGAATCCAATTGTTATTGTATATAATTATAAAATAGACAATAAAATGAAACTGATTTACGGAAGTTATATAAAATACCTGCATAATTACACAAACTATAAGCTAATGCTGTTTATTGATTAATAATTAAGATTTTTTAATTATAAAAGAATTAAGATATAAGTGATACACTTATGCGTATAATATTTTACGTATATAATATACATTATAATATTATATATTATAATACGCAATATTATAATATACAAGACATGTATGTTTATGTTTATATATCCACTAATAACATAAAATTCATCATTTTTTTCTTTTATAATTTTTAAGATAAAATATATTTTAACTTTATTTTAATTTTAGTTTATCCTACACCGTTCATCTTAAATTTTTTTTTTCTTTTTGTTATATTATATTTTTCCTCAACGTGTAACTGAGGAAACATGATGTATAAATGCAAACAATTATCAATTACATTATCAATTACATATCACTAATTAGAATCGTAGAAACTATGCTTAATTTGTATATTAAGATAGGGCTCGGCACACGATACTTTTCAGCCGATTTTCAACTTAATTTCCCGACCCTTATCTCACTAACCTGCGCATCAGGCTGAAAATCGACTGAAAAATAGCGTGCCGAACTCTGCAATAAGAGAATCTATTCAATACAATTATTGCAATTATTACAAAGGAAATAAAATTAACTGTCATATCTCAACTGACATATCTAAAAGGGATCATAAAGGAGTCCTCATATAGAAATCCTTTAAAAGTCATAAATAATATATCCTTAAACGAAATACATCGGCGATGCCTCCATCTTTATTTTAAAATTTCTCTGTTCTCTTTCTAAATCAGCCAAATTAAAGTTTGGGTTCCTGGAAACAATGTTTTATAGATCATAATCACAACTAATATTCGATATTGTAATTGATTGCTTACCCTTGTAACAAGGCTCTTCCGCGAAAAGCTGCTAAATGAGCATAATATGTTGGTGCCGGATAGCTTACCGATCTTGTACAGCGGGCATACATATGGCAAAGAAAATAAGTCATTTCCTCAAGCTGATCTTCATTAAATTTAGAATCGTTGCATATGCATCTGTATCTTGTAGGTCTCGCTGTACCCTGTGTGTGTATGTGTGTGTGTGTATTGCATTTATAGTATAATTACCATTTACATATCAAATGAATTTTATTTGGTTAAAGAAACATGCGTTTGTAAACATATAGTTTGGAAATTTAATTATTTAATACGTATATACTTTGAAGTATATTTTGAAATGAATTATTATAATTATTACGAGTTAATTATTCTTAATTGTTATTAATCATTGTAAAATTTTGTATGTGATATTTGTTTATAAGCAATGAGACATTTATAATTATACATATAAACATATTAAAAAAACAAATCAATGATTTTACCTGAATACTCGCATGTGACACAAGATAAAAATCGATATGATCCGGATGCGTAATAGTTGTATCGACAATTGTACCCGCTCTCACATTACAGTTTTTGTCATCTGTTTCTTGTTCATTTGCGGGAAAGAGACGCACATGATGTCTCTTCTGAACAACCATGCAGGTAATTTCAATATTACCTTTATTAAATTTTTTAATTGCATTTTTAATGGCGTTTATTTCATAAAACATAATTTGAGGAAGTTGTCCCTCACTAACTCCGTCTCTAGATATTGATATAAATACGGAATCAATGTGCATTAATAAATTTCTTATTTATTCTTAACTGAATATTCATAACTGTTATCTATGTAATAGTTTTTCTTATTATGTATATATAAAAAGAATTTATTTTTAATAATTTATATAATATTGAACATTGCCAATACATACCGGTAATAGATGAGTCTCCGCGGTGGAGACTTTGTTTCCTGATAATAGATATTAAGTTGTGATAATATTATTGCTTCAAGATCTAAAATCATTTCTTCTGTAGGTGGTTGAAGTCTGAGTGTAACATTATATTGGAAAGCTGAATTATTTCTACTTGCAGCAACCTAAATTAATATTTCTTATTATAATAATACACATATTCACATAAAAGACAAGCTGCGTTTAATAATTATACAAACCGCCGCTATAGATGGCGCTACACTTTTAGAATCGGGGGCCGGATGAGTTACATCGGCACCAACAAGCATACAAGAATAGTTGCTTAAACATGATGGCCTAAGAAGGAAACAAAAATTGGAGAAAAAAAAAGTTTTATTCGAGACTGCAAACATTTTTATAAAACAAATCATAAATATTATTCACTCACATTTTATCCAATATATGATTGACGCCATTGAGTTTTGAGTTTATTTTTTGTAGAAGATTTTTTGTTGTAGTAACACTGGTTTTTGGATTGATGCAACTTTTCACAGTTTTATATTTTATACACTGTGTCAAAACACCTATGTCCATTTCGGTAATTTTTTTTACGTTTCCTAAGATAATGATAAATATCATTAGATTGATTTATATTCAGAATAAGAAAGTAATGAAAAGAACCACATGTACTCACCATATATTACGTCTGTATTATCTGGTATGACAACTATTATCAATTGTAAATGTTTATATTCATTGAAATAATTTGTGATACTCCTTAAATCGTTTGTATTGATTTTTTTACCATTTTGAGTTATAGGCTTACCAATTGTCATACCAACGATTCTTGCTAAAAAAATGGATTTAATATAATAACAAAATGTAATATGAACACAACTATATAACATAATTCAAATTGCAATTTGTTTGTTAATATCTAAATTGCACACAATTACAAATTATGCATAATTTTTTTATCAACAATTAGATGTATTATTTGGAAACTTATATATATATAAATAATAATAATATAAAATGCATTTTAAAATTATAACTTTATTTTTCATATACTTAACCATTGCTTTTTAATATGTCTATAAATGTTTGTAAATCAGAATCGGGAGGTTCTTTTATTGTCTCATTAATTAAAGTAAGAATACTCCATGAGTTAGGCCCCAAACTTTTGGCTTGATTAAACCGTTGCAAACGCCATACTCCTCTTTCTACTGTGATTGTTGAGTTAGCATATTTCAATCCAGGAGGAGGCAAAACTCTGGCATCAACCATTTGCATTTTTGTACTCACAGATAGATTGAATTCTTTTTCCATGACAGAACTATCGTTTATTTCCAGTTTTTTGAACTACAAATATATAACATAATAAACATAACGATATAATATATTCGATCTAAATGAAAATGTCTTTTACCGTTATTTCTATGTTCTGTTTACGGGTAGGCGCAGCCGTTGCTGTTTCTTTAATCATATTTCTGGTTTGTGTTTCATCTAGTTTTTTATTAAAGGCTTGACCACCCACAATGGTGCATAACTATAAGTGTTCAAAGAAATTTTTAATTTACATTATTACTTGTAGCAAATATAAAACAGCTTACATACTTCAAGAGGCACCAAGATTTTGCCTCCGTCGGAAGTCTTGCCAACATGAAGAGTAGGCAAATCAGTCCTCTTTATGTTATATCTCTTTATGTCCCGAAAATATTTTGTTATTGTGTAAATTACATCGGATGATGTAAACGTATGTGAGTCACAACTATCGCACCACAAATCGAGTACACGAAACGTACGTTTCGAAATTGGTGAGTTAGGTATTGCGTAAGTCACTTTTAAGCCCTTCAAAAAACTTAGTATCTTGTTTCTATGCTGCATTACCGTATTATAAGAAAGGCTTTGTTCATTGATTTTCGTAACTTTAGCTATATATTGAAGTACTCTTAAATTTGTGGTAAATCCTTTATGAGCAACTAAATAAAATATAAGAAGTAATATAGAGATTATAGATAAATATATTTAGTGTAGTTTTTTCAATTTAAAAATTATTAAAAGCTTTATAAAAGTATTATTTATAATTGAAATGACAAAAAATCATATCAACATGGATGTCTTACCATCTACATTTAGATATGGTTTCCACCCAAGTATACCAGAGAGAAATCCACCGGTTGATAGAGATAAGCCATCACCTAGTGACTCTTTTTTCATATCTATATCCCAGTAGAGTGATCTTCCAACCTAAAGTAACGTATTTTATATCATGCATTTTATATATATTAGGTGTTGGAATTAATTCGTAGCGTTTTACAAGTGATGGGAAGTACTTTCATCATTTACATTAATTTCTAATTAGATTATAACATTTTATAAAGTATATAAATAAATACATATTTTTAAAAAGTTAGTTTCTGTTCTTAAATTAATATGCAAAATTAATTTATTTAAATAAATGCGATTTATTAAAAAAAATCGAGAAGATGTTATTTATAATTAAATTTAATAAAACTTATTATTAGTGCTGATCAATTATAACATTACTAGAGAAGAAAATGGTATATGGCTCCTCATTTACACATTACACAACTTAATTAACAATCAATATTAAACCTAAAATTTAATGATTACATTCATCCAAGTACTGCTCAATTGATTCACAGAATATTCTATTTCTTTTTACCAATCACTATATCTTAGAAAGAGAGGGAGTTGATTGTCTTTATGTTCCTCCTTCTTATTCTTGTTGACTACTATTTGATCTATATATTTAGATATGGATGATACAGTCCATGTTTTATATCTTCGAGGCAATGCTATTATTAACTTTTTTTTGCTATTATTAACTTTGCATAACTCGAAACATATATAGTCAAATAAAATGTTAAATAACAACACATTCAAATATATTTACATTAGTATGATAATACGTTCAAGTTTAAAAAATAATGAGGACGTAATTTAATACTGAACTGTATCTTAAAAACGTTTCGTAATGTTTAAATGTAAAAATGCGTTATAATAAATGCCAGCTATTAGCATCTTACCACCACAGTATAAGTAACTTCTAAACAAACGATTCCATAAGTAATCACTAGAAATTCGTCACCTAATAGTGGAAATATTTAAGAGAGGCCACAAATATCATCTTTCTATTAATCGCTTACATTAATAAACCTCGATTCTGGTCCATGACGTATGATTATATCCAAGACTTGTAAAGCAGTTTGAACTCTATTTTCTGCAAGACCAGGTTTAAAATTTTTTATCCAACTAAGATCAATATAAGCCACTTTGTTCAGGGTAATTTCATATTGTTTCTTTTGTTCCTTGTCATTTAGGTGCCAGAAAACATCCTGCATCTATATAGAATGAAAAAAATTAAACTATTATTAAAAACTCTTTCTCTTTGTTTTATTCTCAAAATATTTTAATCAAACAATATTATAAAACTTGTTCCATATGTGATAAATTGTGTTACAATTAACGTGTGTATTACTTACATAATCCGAGAAAGGAAGTTCATTTGCGCTATATGCATTTTTGTTCCCATCATAAGCTGGAAATCTCTCGCTAAAATGTTTATTTCTACATTGTTCAAAAATATCTCTACATAACTTCTTAGGAAGTTTGGTTTCCTTCTCGGTTTCTGTTTTGCTGGGCTTTTCATTGAAAGGACGAATAACAATATCATAATGAATTGCATTGGTTACAAACTTATCGCTGAATATAATTTGGAACATATTTGTAAACACAAAAATGTTTTTTCCTATTTTCCCACCACATAGAGGATTTTTTCTCTTTGGTATCATGTCATGATATACTTTCAATTGTTCAGATGACATTTTTGCCTTTGTAGTCTTTTCTTTGTGGAATGGATCATCTGTTAAAGAAAGCTTAGTCATCTGAAAAAAAAAAAAAAAAAAAAAAAATTAACTAAATTAATTCAGAATGCAAATATATATTCGTAAGATATTTGTAATAGATATTTTATTAAACACACGCGTGTACAATTATATTTAAAAATAATAAATGTATTTTATGTATATATGTATATAACATAATATGTTATATATTAGGTGTTGGAATTAATTCGTAGCGTTTTTAAATGAAAGAATGTTATTTATTTCACATGAGCATTAAAAAATACATTAATGAAAGTACTTCCCATCACTTGTAAAACGCTACGAATTAATTCCAACACCTAATACATACAATCATACCTGAAGAGATGTAGTACTTGATGGCTGCTGTCGGTGCACATCACCAATTGCCTGTCGACCATCACCAGCAGCACCAGTATCAACTATAAAAAATAAAAATGTGTATATCTATATATACATAACTGTAATAAAATTCGTAGATAGATCTTTGTAATCTCTACAACTTTTATTTGAAACAGTTTTTTATAAAACTTATATTTTTTTTAGATATTTCAGGATTCCTGTATTTTTTCTTAGCCTGTATATATATGTGTGTGTGTGTGTGTGTGTGTGTGTGTGTGCGCGCGCGCGCGCACCCATATACATATATACATGCATGCATACGCACACATATGTCTAGTGTCCTACTTTAAAATAAATAAAAATTGAAAGAAAAACTTAAAAATAATATGTAAAAATAATATGTAAAAAATATACAAAACATGTTTAATTTGAAACAGTTTTTAGACATTATCTTCATTGGACAAATTCGTTTAAAAAAATTAATAAAATTTCTTTTTTAAATAAAATTAATTTTTTATTATGATTCAATTTTCCTAATCATTTTACATAAAAAAAAATCATTAAAATGAGATAAATAAAAAATCAATATCTGATTAGATATTTTGTATTTAATTCTGGTATATTACTCTAATATGAATATAAACTATCTTACATGTTTATATAAAGTATTTGCTTTTCAATAATTTTGTCAAAGTATTTTTATACATGAGATGAAAAAATTAATTATTCATTTTGTATAAGTTATGAATACAAGTACATTAATACATAAATAAAAGAGCAATTCTACTTTTTAAAAAATTATATTATAGCTATAACTTTTTTATATAAATTTTTTTATATCAAATATTAAAAAATATACTAAATTTAATTGTTGCTGCTTCTGACTATATTACTATTAGAGAATATTTACTTGAAGCTTTTTGCTGTTGTTGAGGTAAAGTTGCTCTGTGTTGCTGTTGTTCCCAAGCTGTTTGTGATTGTTGTTGTTGTAGCTGACTCTGTGTTCCTTGTGATTGTTGTTGTTGTAGCTGACTCTGTGTTTCTTGTGGTTGTTGTTGTTGTGACTGGCTCCATGCTCTTTGTGGTTGTTGTTGGCCCCATGCTCCTTGTGGTTGTTGTGGCTGATTCAGTGTTCCTTGTGGATGTTGTTGTGCCTGGCCCCATGCTCCTTGTGGTTGTTGTTGTGGTTGGCTCCATGCTCTTTGTAGTTGTTGTGGTCGGCTCCATGCTCCTTGTGGTTGTTGTGCCTGGCCCCATGCTTCTTGTTGTTGTGGCTGGCTCCATGTTCTTTGTGATTGTTGTTGTTGTGGCTGGCTCCGTGCTCCTTGTGGTTGTTGTTGGCCCCATGCTCCTTGTGATTGTTGTTGTTGTGGCTGGCTCCGTGCTCCTTGTGGTCGTTGTTGTGGCTGGCTCCATGCTCCTTGTGGTCGTTGTTGTAGCTGGCTAGATGTTCCTTGTGGTTGTTGGCTTTGTGGTATTTGTTGTCGTGGGCGGCCCCATGCTCCTTGTTGTTGTTGTTGCAGTTGTTGTTGTTGTGGCTGGTCCTGTGATACTTGACGTGAGCCCAACGATTCTTGTTGTTGCTGACCTTGTGATATCTGTTTCTGAAAACTCTTAGTTATTTTCTATTGCTGTTGCGAATTTTATTTGTTACTGCTTTGAGTACCTTTTGTTGTTTTGAAGAACCGTCAGAAGTCTGTTTCGAAGTTGATGCAGCTGCTTCCTGCTCCTTTCCTATAATTTGTATTATTCTTTATTAAATATATATCTCTTAGGCCCGATTGCATCAACTTCAACTTTAAGCGAGATTTAAAAACTCTCTCTCTCTCTCTCTCTCGACTTTAAAGAGAGAAAGTAAGAGTTGTAAGCCTTGCTTGAAGTCAAAGTAATGTTGGTGCAATCGGGTTTTAAAGAATAGGTATCAATTAAGAATCAAGTTTTAAGAAATTGTAATATATACATCTCATTTACATACTTGAAGCTTTCAGCTAATTTAATTTCAGAACTGTACCTATCATGGAACATGTCGGAAAGAATTCCGAAGAATTCGGAATTATTCCGTTTTCCATAAAAAACATTAACAATAGAAATCTAGGAAATAATTGAATAATTCCGATCGGAATCCATTCCGACTTGTTCCATGATGAGTGCCCAGACTGGGTACTTTTGGCCAAAGATAGAGCGGAAGCCTTAAAATTCGCGTATGTCGTGACAGTCATCTGTCGAATCGCACAATTATGTTCCTAATTTCATTTTTATTTTATATGGACAGAATATTAATTGTAATAAAGTATTCGTAGCCATGCAGCTTTAATGTACAGATATGAAAATGAAGGATATCGAGTTTGAATCTCGTTCGACTTCGTTAATTTTTTTATCGTTATTACTATTGATAAATGCAGCATCAGACTCACAAGAAAACACTATAATAATATATTACGAAAATATATTACAATCTCATAAGGATCTTCCTTCTATCTAATTTTTTTTTTTTGACTTGAAATTAAAATGTGTCGACTCTATTATTTCTACTCTTACTTCATTGCTGTTTTATCGTAGCGTGCGACATTCGGTTTCAGGGACAACATTAGTCTAAAATTATTAAAAATTTTTGACCTGTCATTTATTATGTTCAAAAATATTCTGCTACTAATATTATAAGATAATATTATTCATAATGTATTTAACTAATATATAAAAATATATGAATTTTATATATATTTTATATCTTATGAGAGAGATATTAATAACAGAATACTTTTAAACATAATGAATGACACAAATAAAAAATTCTTAATTTTAGACTAATGTCATCTCTGAGAACAAGCGTTGCACGCTACGATAAAACAATAATGAAATAAGGAGTAAAGAACGGTAACAGGCATGAATATCGCAGGCATATATACATTTTAATTTCAAGTCAAAAGATCATATTTCTGCATTCTGTAATTCGTTGTACAGTCATTGTAATTACAGTTGCACAGCTTTTTTTTACTATATAAAATATTTACGCAACTGTCATTATGAGCATATAACAATTGCATAACGAATTATAGAATATAGAAGCTGGCTCAGGAAAACAATTATGTAATTTTTTCTCTGGGACAGAAACGTGAAAAGTGAAATTTTTTTGTGCACGTATGTATATGTACATACATATACAAAAAATTTTCACTTTTCACATATCTGTTTTAAAAAAAAATTATACGAATGCTACTTTGATTTAATTAAATAATTACTTTTAAATAAATAAATATATAAGTTCTTGTAGCTACAGTACGTTATACTTTCTGCTTATGAAATAGATTTATTAAAATAGGAATATTAGAAGAAAAAAAAGTAAAGGAAAATTATATAAAAAGCTACAGAAAACCTAATGTTATCTTAATTTGTTGACATTTCAGACCTATGGTTGTCTTTTGTTGCGTCAAACTAGGTAATGCTTTTGAGGATTGTTCCTTTTGTTGTTGCGAGGACTGTTCTTGCGAAGTCTGTTCTTGCGAAGTCTGTTCTTGCGAAGTCTGTTCTTGCGAAGTTTGTTTTTGCAAAGTCTCTTTTGAGGTTGATGCAGCTGTTTTCTGCTTCTTCTTCTTTCCTATAATTTGTATTATTCTTTATATATCTTTTAAAGAAAAAGTACAAATCAAGTTTTAGAAGATCGTAATATACACATAACATTTATATACTTGAAGCTTTTAGGTAATTAAATTAAATAATTATTTTTAATAAATACATAAGTCCTTGTAGCTACATTATGTTATACTTTCTGTACAATAAAATAGGTTTATTAAAATAGGAATGTTAGAGAAAAAAAGTATAAATAAATTATACAAAAACTTTAGTTGTAAAGAATCTAATGCCATCTTGACTTCATTCTATAAACGCAAGTGTGCACGAGTAACTGTGTTTTACTTAATACTTGCAAATTGCAATGTTCATGAGTAACATTTATCTTTGTATAATATTTAATAAAATAACAAGAATAAAATGATGTAAGAACATTGTGAATGTCAAGTGGAACGTAGCCAGTGCGAATGTTACACTTTTAGTATAGTTTATTTGTATTGTAACAACCCTGAGGTCGTTGTTATAATTCTGGAATACAGAAATTCGTAACGTTTTCGATTTGCTAACTCATCTCGACTTCGAGTCAATGATCTGTTCTTCTTACCTATATTTCTTGCATAGTTTAATTCTTTTTTTGCAGCTAAAAAGAACATAGATTAGAGGTTGAATCGAGTTTTTAGCTGCAAAAAAAGAATTAAACTATGCAAGAAATATAGGTAAGAAGAACAGATCATTGACTCGAAGTCGAGATGAGTTAGCAAATCGAAAACATGATTAGACTGCATATTGTGAAAACTATAATATATAGATTGATTATATAGATTTATTTATTTCTATATATTGTGACTTGTTTTTTGAAATACAAACAAATAATTCGGATAATGAATTAAATTATTATCATGGAAGTAATGAATTATCGATGCATTTGTAGGAAAAATGGAAACATTTGCTTCGAAACGATCGCATATAACATCTGGCACATACCTTTCTTTGTCATTTTGTCTTAATTCAATATCAGACAAAACTCCTAAAATATATTGCGTGACACAATCACTTGTTAGCTCCACTGGGTAACAGCTACGATGTTCTAATTGAATCTATTGTTACCAAGTATCGCTATCTCGTATCTTATCAAACGACAATTTACAATCGAATGTTCTAGAAGCCTTCACAGCACATATAAATAATACATATGAGTAACAGAATTCCCCGAACTCTGGATACCTCAGATTTTCTTACAAATACGCAAAAAGTCTGATCAAAAATTGGAGATGAAGGATGCGATATTCACTGCCAGAAACTATACAGTATATGTTACGTGCGTTATAGATTTTCAGCACTGGCAGTGAACATCGGAACGCACCCGAAGTGATAATGACACCTCTACACAGTGCACAGTTACAGTATAATGCCCATATCAGGAGATCGATTGTGTATCTTGAAATGGGATAAAAATTATAAAAATAAACAAATTTATTAGGAAATTCATAATCAATTGGTCAATATTTAGTGAATTTGCTTATTTTTGTAATTTTCATCTCATTTCAAAATACACAATCGACTCTCAGACTACGAATTGACGATTACGATTGACGGTTACCCAGTTTTACTTCAACCAATCACGCGAGTTCATCGTATTACACCGAAGTACAAACTCATTTTTGTTCCTTATTGTACATGAAGTCTAAAGATGCCTTTTCATGCCGACGCTTGACGCTTATTTTCGGCGTTAAAATAAGTCACGTGATAAAAATTGACGTATATCAAGCATCAATTTTGATCATATGATTTATTTTGACGCTGAAAATGAGCGTCGAGCATCGACAAAAAAGAGACACCTTTAGGATTGATAGGAGTGACAAACTACGAAGCCTATCATTTCATTAATGAACCAAATTTTGTAATTTCATTTTTAAAAACATTTTAATGAATAAAATAATATGCTCCTTTTATGGCGCAGATACATGTTTTTATGCTGATATTTTATCTCCAAGAAGTGATATTATATTGGGTCATCTAAAAAGTATCTGCGGTTTTTATGTCACTAGATGTGTGTTGATGGTGATATATCTAGTGACAAAGTACCGCGGATACTTTTTAGATGACCCAATAATATGATCTCATTGGTAAAGCAATGAAAAATTACTAGAAACAGAGCGATGTGAGTGGTATGTGCAATTGAACTGTGTGCAAGTGCGTCACTCCCGTTCCGAGCATCATGTGCGTGTATTTTTAGGAACGCCAGAAGATGGCATATGTAAGAAATCAGCCATATTGTTAAAAGTATTGAGAATACGCAGTACAGCTTCCATGAGAACTACGCGTTTCTTTCCGCGATCGCGGATCTGTCACATAACCAACGTCGCCGATTCCGAGCGATAATGTTTATAAATACTGAAATTTGACATATGAGCCAGCAGCAACTCTAAGCTTCGCAAAAATCATCCTACTCCCGGTGATGCCCGCGCGATACACATCGGAGCGATGCCGTTAATGTGATAGATCGACGCCAAAGAAAATCGGACGTCGAAAAAAAATGACAACTGGTCAGAGTGGACACGATCATTCTCTCGCTATCAGACAGGAAATACAACGTTTTGAAAGCGTTCACCCATCGATATATGCCATTTATGATTTGATAGAGGTCGTGCCTGACGCGCACATCGCTAAACAAATTCGTGAGCATGTTGTAGCGATAGAGGGTATGCTTTATAATTATGTATATATTTTACATGTATATACTTTATAATTATGTACATCTCAGTTGAGGAAGATGTTTGCTGTATTTACAGTGTTTATGTATAGTAATAATCTGATATGATTAAATAATACGTATAATGTTATATGTTATGTTAAGCTTATATTATATAATAATAGGAGTTGCATTCAGTAGAGAAAAACTTTTCAGAGAGCACTGCGTAATTTTTTAATATGATTTATTCTTATCTTTAATTTACTGGATCTAAGGAATCAATGACTGTATTCAATAGAAAAAGCTGCTTTGCTGTTGTAAAATTATTTATATGATTGATTTATATATTTAGATCCAATGAGGAAATAAGAGCAATAATTAAAGAACAGTTGCAAAACTGTTTTCTCTGCTGTATGCAGCCAATTGTATTAAAAAATAGTGTTCACTGATCAGTTTTCTCTGCTGAATGCAACCAATGGTCGTGTTCAGCAGATCATTGAATGATCTATGTGTAAAAGAATATATCAATAACAGCAAGTGTTCACGTATCTGCTCTGCAACAGTTGAGTCTGAACGTGACCAATGTAAGTTCATGTTCTTTTAGATTCCTTCGTCAACAGCCATGAATGGACATTGGCAAGAGATGTTCCAGAATTACATCTGGGAATCATTGGTTCCTCAGACTCAGGAAAGTCAGCTTTGGTTCACAGGTATCTTACAGGATCCTTCATGCATGAAGAATCACCAGAAGGTGGTCGTTTTAAAAAGGAAATCTTCATAAATGATCAGAGTTACCTTCTCTTGATAAGGGATGAGGGTGGCGTGCCAGAGGCTCAAGTATGCAAAAACCGTTTTATGTCATATGTCATTATTTGCCAATGCCTATTATTATATCAAATAATAATGGATGTGTCCATTTCAGTTTTCATCTTGGATAGATGCTCTATTACTTGTATTCAGCTTAGAAAATGAAGAAAGTTTCTCTATAGTTTGCAGTTTTTACAATAGAATGTGTTCTTTTCGGAATATGTCAGAAGTACCAAAAATACTTGTAGGCGTACAAGGTATGCTGTAATCAGATAATAAATTGTCAATTTATTTTATTAGTTATTCCTCATCACATTCATGTTTCTAAATTATTGATTTATTGATTTTTTTGTAGATTCGATTAACGACAGCAATCCTCGTGTCATAAAAGATGTCAGACCACGGAAACTGGCTTGTGATTTAAGATGTCCTTATTATGAAACATGTGCTATTTATGGTTTAAACGTTGAGAGAGTATTTCAAGATGGTAAGGATATTTATGCAGGAATTAAACACACAAATTTGTTATAAGTTGAAACAAAAACATGTTTCTTTAAATTATCTTATAATGTTTATATTAACAAGTGAAAAATTTCAGTGTGTCAAAAAATCATACAGAACATATCGATGAAGAATTTTTCATGCGATGTGTGTCAACATGCTACGGAGAATGAAGTTAAATTTGCAGTCCCTGCTATTATTAAAAACGTGCAACTTCATAATAAAGATACAGAGACCACAAATTCATTGAAACTAAACGTGAGTCAGTTTATCATTTATGTCCTCCAATAAATCAAACAGATCATATAAGTTTAAAGTAAATTTCTCAACAGGTTTCAGAAAAAGACGAGGATTGTCGATCCATTCACAATAGTTCTATGACAAACGATTCGTCATTGTTGAACGATAATTTTCATAATGTACAAAATCAACATGGAGAACTGCGTTCGTCAATCTTGACACCAACAACTATCAGGTTTGAACATACTTTTTTTAAATATTTCTTTCTACATTTTTTTACATTGATATTATTATAATATTTTGTTTCCTAGAAAATTTAGAAGAAAATCGAACATATTTACACCTTCCAAGAAGGAGAAATATATGGGCGAAATGGGTGTTGGTAGAGAAATACCAGTAAAACAAGGTTATTTATTCAAACGAAGCAGCAAGTCGTTGAAAGAATGGAAGAAGAAATACGTAACATTATTAGAGGATGGACGTTTGACTTATCATTCGAGCTTACATGTAATTATCAGTTATGCAATAGTTGTCTATTTTATCACTTTATGCATTTGTACAATATGTTTAGTATAAGGAAACATTTTTAGGATTATATGAACGATACTAATGGCAAAGAAATACTTTTGCAATATGTTACTGTGAAAGTACCTGGTAAAACACCAAAAGGTTCTAAATCATACAATGCTCAAGGTATTGCAGATTTCATTGTGTATAATTAACGGTTGTAGAATATTTTTATCATTTTTAATATGCATATCCTTTCTTTTTCTAGAAGATAGTTTCGAATTTTCCATTATTTCCTTGGAGAACAAAACTTGGCACTTCGAAGCAAACAATGCCGAAGAGAGGGACAGCTGGATTACTGCAATAGAACAGCAAATACTATCGAGCTTACAAAATAGTGATGGTGATAAAAAAAACGAAACTGATGCTTTTAAGATGCATTGCATAAAGAACAAAGTTTCGGGGAATGATACATGCGTTGACTGTGGTGCACCGAGTGAGTGGATTTTTATTTTATTAATTACCGCACAATTAATAATTTGTGTATACTCTACAATTGCATATTTTTATTTCAGATCCCGATTGGGCCAGCCTTAATCTGGGTGTTTTGATGTGCATCGAATGCTCCGGTATTCACAGAAATTTAGGTTCGCACATATCTAAGGTACGGTCTTTGGATTTGGATGACTGGTCGTAAGTATGAGACAAAGTTTCACGCGTATTACTAATACGCATTCATTTGTATTTGTTTTGTGTCTGTTATTTAATGATACATCTTTAACGACGGCTTTAGCGCAGGTCACTTAAGCGTCATGCTGGCCCTCGGTAACGATATAGCCAATAGTATCTGGGAGTATTGTTTGAACGGAAAACAAAAACCTGTCTCGGATTCGTCTAGGGAAGAAAAAGAACAGTGGATTAGATGGAAGTATGAAGATAAACTCTTTCTGCCACCGATCAATCCGAACATCTCTTTAGGAAAATTACTTATCGATTCGGTTTGTCGGTAAAGTATCTCGTTTTTGTTTAGCTAGATGTAGAAATCAATTACGTATCGCTGTAGTTTCGCGATCTTATTATCTTCGAATATACAGGGGAGACATGAGAGCGTTTACATTATGTTTGGCTCGCTGTAATTACGAAGACATTAATATTTCGGTCAGCACGGAAGATCTGCGAACACCGTTACATCTGGCATGCGCAACCGGGAATTTGGCAATGGCACAACTTTTAATATGGGTGCGTGTTCCTTTTTCATTTATTTAAAGCATTTCCTTGGTACTATAGCTATGTTATTGCAAACTTTGCAGCATAAGGCGAATCCGCAGAATTTGGATCATGAAGGACGAACTTGCATGTCGTACGTGCGAGCTTTGGAACGAACGCTCGATAATTCGTCTGATTCTATGGAAATGCAGAAGTTACTCGAAGTGCTGGAACAAGCCAGTGTCTCCGGGATGGACGACGTAG